GATGTAATAAGGAGTAACTTAGGCTACCTTTAATTTTGCAAAATGAAGTTAAATTCCACTCTGACGAAGTCGCGTGTACAGCTAGTGTTCCCGTAAGATTTACGTGTTAAATGCACGCACTTATATACGAGAGTCCATATCTCGCCTTGATGTGGCAGTTCATTTAGAATGTGTTTTGATTTATATCTTATTAGCTGTAACCGGAGGCGTAGAGGCTTGAATATAAAAAGGTTATATTAATACTAGCTCTGCCCACGACTTCGTTTGTGTGGAATTGTGACTTTGAATAACATTTTTCATATTTACGCTAACTATTTTACAAATAAGACACATACATATAAAAATAATTATAATAAAAAAATAATATATATAAATATAAACAAATATGATATTAAAAAAAGTGTAAAAGACGTAAGGGTATAATTATATATTTATATATAAATACTTAAATTTTATATAACTTCTTCAACAATTTAAAAAATAAGTTTCAAGCTTCTAGCTTTAAAAATGACGATACTTCCATATAACTTTTCATCGCCCCTTTAAGCCCCTTACAACCCTTTTTTGCATTAAAAAGTAGCATAAGTCCTTCCTCGGCGTCTAGATTATCTGTGCACCAAATCTCATTTAAATCAGTTCAGTAGTTTTGACGTGACAGGTAGACAGACAGAGTCATTTTCGCATTTCTAATATTAGTGGGGATAATACTAGTTTCATCTTATTTTTTTATTAATTTAATAGTGTAATAGTTAAATAAAATTATCATAGTAACATATCATATGAGATCTTTGGGGGAGGCCTATGTCCAGCAGTGGACATCTTCCGGCATTCATCATCATCATCGCAGATGATGTTGATGATCATATGATGACGTATGTGTACTTTCATGTATAGGTCAATACCTATAGATAAGAAATTTCTAAAGATTTTTAGGGTCGTAAATACTTTTGGGCAAGGCTCTATATATAGTCGACCGTTGCCTCTCAGCTTATTTGACATTTCAATTACATTAAAAAAAAAGAAAAATTTCTTGTTCTATATTCAAATTAAATTAACAGTATACATACTCATCTTATCTTAATATATATAACTCAAAGATGACTGACTGACTGACATAGTGATCTATCAACGCACAGCCTAAACCACTGGACGGATCGGGCTGAAATTTGGCATGCAAGTAGATATTATGACATAGGCATCCGCTAAGAAAGGATTTTGATTAATTCTACCCCCAAGGGGATAAAATAGGGGATGAAAGTATGTACGAAACTTTGTTAATTTTAAACCATCGGGCTGAGACTTTGCATGCATGAAGCTACTATGACGTAGGCATCCCCTAAGAAAAGATTTTGATAAATTCCACCACTAAGGGAATAAATTAATGTGAGCTAAGCCGCGGGCAAAAGTTAGTTTATATTATAAACGTAAAAGTTTGTGAGTATAGATGGATGTTTGTTACTCTTTCACGCAAAAACTACTGAACGGATTTTGATAAAACTTTACACACTAGAAAAACTCATAGTCATGTAATGATAAATGTCAAGTAAGCGTGATGACGAAGTTACGCGGGTCAACTCAAAAAATAGACCCGACAAATGTAACTGTACAAACGACTTTGTCCAAAGTCCCGCCTTTTATTAAAATAACTTTGTCATTTGTTGTAGGTGACATTATTTCTTTGTTTTGCCTCATAGAAATAACGGAGTTAATAAAATGTCGGGGACGAAATCTCGTCACAAACTTTTAACTAGTGTACCAAAGTTATTTCATAGTTGCGAGACTTTATCTGGGGACGTCATTTATTTCTTCTCGTGTTCTTTCACTGTATTATATTTATGTATTTCATAATCTTGATAGTGCAGTGGTTAGACATATTGGTTCAGTGTTCGATTCTGTGAGAATATTTTTAGTTTATAATTAAGGAATTATGCACCCGCCTGCGCTGACGGTTTACGCTGGCGGGGCACCAGTGGAGGATGATAGAATGATCTTGAGGTCAGGTCAGTTAGACCATAGAGGCAAATTGAACTGAGGAACTTATTATACCCCCAAAATTACAAAGAAATTCAATATACATATAATATACCAAGACCGATACAAATAATCATACTCATGAATACAAATTATTTGTACCGTGCGAGGAATCGAACCCACGACTATCGGATAGTAAAGCGATGTGCTAAACCACTAGACCACAGAGGCTGTCAAATTGTAATGTTTGGTTTTAATTATTATAGTAGTTGTCTTATTAACACTATTAGCTTTTGTTAGTTTTTTTTACGCTTTATGGGTTTATGGCGTACCACACTTACGGGCCGAAACCAAGTAAGTGCAGTGTGTGTGTATGTGTGTGTGTATGTGTTTGTGTGTTATTGTGAGCTTTATCAGACAGTTTTAAAGGTATTCAAAATGAAACCTTTTGAAGGGTAATGTAGAGTGTTTAATTGTAAATTTAATTAAGAACTCAACAAGTATCGTTTTGGAAAAATCAATAGGTCTGTTATGGGAATAGGTATAAAAATTTACAATATGTTATTGTAAATTTTTAGAAATTCAAAGAAGCAAATATTCTCACCGTTGCTTCTCAATTTATATATTTAAATATCCTTATGTTCATAAAAATCTTGACTTATTTCCAAAAAACAGCAATATTCATAATATTAATACTAGATTTAAAGACAAACTTGCTGTCCCCAAGTATCGTTTAGAAAAAGTTAATAGGTCTTTTATTGGAATAGGTATAAAAATTTATAATAAGATACCAAAGGATATATAGTAATTACCCTTAAATAAATTCAAAACATCTGTTAAATCATATTTACTGAGCAAAGCCTATTACTCACTAAACGATTACTTGAATGACGAGTGTGCATGGCAATAGTTGTTCATGCACAGGATTTTCATTTAATGTTAGATATAGACACCTATATAAATATACGTTGTAAATAAACTATCTTTAAAAAGTAATTCAATTGAGTTTCTTGCCAGTTCTTCTCAATTGGATCTATATACCGGACTGGACGGTAGGAAATTTTTTTTTTTTTTTTTATTGTTAATGTAATAACTTGACCCTCATAAACGGTACTAAAATGTCCTACATAAATAAATGATTTTTGAATTTGAATTTGAATTGTCTCAAACTGTGATTAGGTATGACGTAATTGATGGCCTCGGTGGTCTAGCGGTCTAGCACACCGCTTTACGTCCGGTGGTTGCGGGTTCGATTACTAGTACGGCACAAAATTTGTATTCATGAGTATGATTGTTTATATCGGTCTGGGTGTTTTCTATGTATAATACGTATATTTACAAAAAAAATCTATGTATTTGTATCAGTTGTCTAGTACCTATAACACAAGCTTTAGCTAGCTTAACTTGGGTCTAGATGGCGCTGTGTGAATTGTCCTGAGATTATTATTATTTTTTTTTTTCCAAAAATTCTCATCTCCCCTCTTAAGGAGAGGAGATGGCAACATTATTATTATTATTATTTTTTTCTTTTTTCCAAAAATTCTCATCTCCCCTCTTAAGGAGAGGAGATGGCAACATACCCCCGGCAGAAGCACAGTCGGCCGGAGTTCAGGGCCCCAGGGAGAGAAACCGGCGTACAATGCGGGCAGAATCTAACAGCACCGCTTTCTGCATCTTTCCTGGGAGTGAACCGCCCCGGAATCCCAACCGTCTGAGATGTTGTTCCAGACTGGTTGGGATAAGACCGTTCACCGACATAACGATTGGAATGATTTCGGTGGACATCACCCCCCACATTTCGGTCACCTCGTGAGCCAGGTCGAGATACTTTCTCTTTTTCTCAGTTTCGGCTTTTACGAGGTTCTCGTCATGCGGTGTGGTGATGTCCACCAAAAACACCCTCGAAAGTGCCCGATCCATCACCACGATATCAGGTTTGTTCGCAAGAACGGTCCTGTCCGTGATGATGGATCGGTCCCAGTAGAGCTTGACGCTGTCGCTTTCGAGGACCGGATGGGGCTCGTACTTATAGTACGGCAACCTCTCATTCGCGAGGCCGTATTTCAGAGCTAGTTCTTGATGGAGTATTTTGGCTACCTGGTTGTGTCTGTGCAAGTACTCAGTGTTGGCAAGATGAACAACCCGAAAGCACATGTCTGAGTGACTCTCCGGGATGGCGACATGCCCGACAGATGTCCTCAGTGCCATCCTTCAGAATGTGCTTTCGGTAATCGTCTTAACCACCTGATCCTGTATTGCACAGACAAAATCCTCGGTCTCTCCGAAGAGATCACCGAACTGTAGCCAGTGCACGGAGGTCTTCGTGTTGACGTACGGCCCGTGAAGGGCTTTGAAGAATGCAACTCTTTCTCTTTCCATACGGCCTCCCGCTGAGAGGTACCCAGGACTTCGGGTTTTCGCCAGTCCTCTTTAGCCAGAGAAAGAGGGGTGAATCCTTTGTCACATTCTATGACCTCTCTATGCAAACCCTCGTCTCTTTTCTTCAGAAAATATGTCCTGAGACTGTCAATCTCGCGGTTGTGCATGGTCTTAACGCTTAACAAGCCTCGACCACCAGCCTTCCGCGGGATGTACAGCCTCATGACTGACTATTTCGGGTGATGCATTCTATGGAGGGTCATAGTTGTGCGGACTTTTCGATCCAGGGCTTCGAGTTCGGTTTGAGACCATCTGAGCACGCCAAAAGTGTAAAGGAGAATGACCCAGCCGTTATATTCGGATCTTATTGGCACCCGACAAGGAACTTTTCAGTACTCTTGTAAGGCGCGCAAAAATTTCCTCACGGACTGACTGTTTCATATCCGTCTCCCTCACACCGATGTTTTGTGACATGCCCAGATACCGGTATGTTTCAGCCTCGGAGAGGGTTTTGATGTTGGAGGGATCTGTAACGATCCCTTCAGTTTGATTGACCCGTCCCCTCTGCACATGGAGAACCGCGCACTTGTCTATTCCGAGTGCCATCCTAACAGAGCTGCTATAATCGTTTACAATATTTAACAGCTCCGTCAGGCGTTCGACATCGGAGCTAGTAGTTTCAAGTCATCCATGTACAGAAGGTGAGGCACTCGTGTACCTCCTCTCCGATACTGAAATCCAGTCCCCGAATTCTCCAGTAAAGTACTGAGAGGATTCAGGGACAGGCAAAACCAAAGTGGACTCAAACAATCGCCCTGGAATATTCCCCTCTTAATCTCAATCCGGTCAGCGGTATCCGTTAATCGCTCGCCCTGGATAGACAGGATCGTCGTACATTGCCCCATGCATGTCTCCAGGAACACCCGAACCGTACCGTCGATCTTGTACAGCTCGAGTATCCTCCGAAGCCATGAGTGGGGCACGGAATCGAACGCCTTTTTATAGTCTATCCAAGCAGCGGAGAAATTCCGACGGTTCCGCTTAACCACTTGGCCAGCGACAGCATCAATGAGGAGAAGCTCCTTCGATCCGCGGCTACCGCCCCTGCATCCGTTCTGAGCGCTAGATAGGATCTTATTTTCGTACACATGACGAGAGATCTTAGCGCTCAGAACAGATGTTAACGTCTTATATATTGTCGTAAGACAAGTTATGGGGCGATATTTAGATGGATCCGCGGTATCGTCCGTCTTAGGAGCTAAATGAGTGATCCCGGTTGTAAGGAAGTTCGGGAGCGCCCTGTTTTCGAGGGCACTCTGGAATTGCACGGCTAAGGTTGCATGGCTGGCCGAGAACGCCTTTAACCAGTAGTGTTGCAATCCGTCGATTCCCGGACTTTTCCAGTTCGGAGCCCGACGGATCGCAGCAACCACGTCCTCCTGCGTAATGGCAATGACGTTCATCGGTGTTATTCGAGCACATGCTTCCTCAACACCGTGCATCCATGCGCCCTCCTCATGTTCCACAGGTTCAGACCACAGCTGTCGCCAGAAGGCGACGAAATTGGCTGTCTCGGGTCTTTGTCCTGTGGGCTGTAGTTTTGGGCGCTCCAAGTTTCTATAAAACTTCCGTTGATCACTCGTAAAGAGACGATTCTGTTGATACCTCTCGACCCTCTCAGAGTACCGTCGGAGTCGCGTCCCCCATGCAGCGACCTTTTGCTTCAGGTCATCTATACGCTCCGTAAGTTTTTGTCCGAAGTCCGGCTGGAACAGACGTACACCTGTCCCAGCAAAGGCCTTTTTTACGGAGCGCATAATTCTCGGGCGTGTATTGCCCTCCCTGAAGCAGAGCAGTCTGCCAATGAGGACCCTGGCCTGGGTGATCCGTCGCTCAATCCTTCTTTTCCAGGCTGGTTTCGCATTATCCCTTTGGATATTACGTCCAGCCCGGGGCATTTTTGCGCCGGTATATCGGCATACTGCCAACGCAGCGCCAAACAGGATTGAACTCGTCTCTCCCAGGTCACCGCTGCCCTCAAGGTATTGAGGCAGCAGTCCATTTGCGGCCTCAATGGCATCCCGCGTCGCCACATTTGGATGTATCCGGGGCAGCTTCGGTCTCTCTTCGAGGTGAGTTCTTCGGATCTCTAGAATCGCCCCTTCTAGTATGCTCCTCATATGCTCTATATCCTGGGAAGTTGTTCCGTCCGCATCCGCTTCTGAAGGCCTTTCGGCAACCATCTCTACGTTAGGTAGCACGTCTGAGATGGGTTGCTCCATGGTCGTGGGGTCTGCTTCTGGAACAACTTCATATCGTTCGAGTTCGGTCGCGCTAAACATACCAGAGCGCTGTATGTACCGAACTCTATCGGCTAGCTAGTTATTATTATTGTTATTATTATTATGATACCTATGGATGTGAGGACTATTGGTATTATATTATTATTTTTATTATATATCATGATATTTTAAAACAACATGACACAGAATCGGACAGAGTTAATCGATGGTAATGAACAATTCATGCGGTATCCAAGTGCTGCCACTAGATATCCGGACATAAATCCCTTAAGTAAAGACAAATTACTCGACCTTTTTTCTCAAGCCTTCGGATAACGCTGCAGCATTATCCGTACCGTGCGTGGCATATAATGGAATGATTGTGATATTACTTATGCGTGATCCACTGCCTTCCTTCCTTCCTTCCTTCATGTTAAATCCGTCCTAGTTAGTAGTCTTTCCCCGCAATTCTTCACAACTAATCTCCTTATTATAATAAAATAGTTTCGACTGACTTGCGTTATCAAGAAACAGATTTTAGCAATAATTGTAACGATTCATGTATCTTATTTAAATTATTAACACGAATAATTCTATGGCAAATAAAGGTCGACCTCTCTTGACGTTTCGACTAGGTTGCACTAGCCGTGGTCACGAGCTGACTGGAGTAACAGCGATGTCAATGTAGATAGGTGACAGCAGTTTTTTCTTCATCTACCGTTAAGACCCGGTTAATAATTTAAATAATGTATATTAAACACGAAAGTTTAAAAATGATACATGTGTCCTTTAGAAATAGAAATAATCTTTATTCTAAAATTTGGTCGAGCGCAGTGATGGCTGACTCATCCGTCATACTCGTTCACGAGTATGACGGATAGTATGCTGCTGCTTGTAGGGACTGGTCTGCTCTTAACACTACGACTTATTTAATCTGATTGTTTTTTTCATATTTAACCCTAATAAATTAGTGCTGGTTGGTAGTTTGTATTCACACGTTTCAAATTGTATAATGTGAACTTACAAGAATTGTTTAAAAGAGAGTTCTTGCTCGTTCTTCTTGTGATGAGACAGCTTTCCGCATGAGCGGTAGATTTAAAAAAACATTGTTATGTCTATTCAAAAGTGCTTAAATTGAGTTTATTTGAATAAATGATTTTTTATTCTATTCTATTCTATTCAAATAAACTGAATACAAGCACTTTTAATAGTCACCTTTTTTATTCTACCACTCATTCGGAATGCAGACTCATCACAAGAAAGAACAAGAAACTTGTGTGTTGCTCTTTTGAATATATTTTTTTTTATATATAAATATTTACACCATAGGAAGATACAACTACCACCATTGGTACATGAGTAAGTTTAACACTATATGTTAGGGTTCACATCAGTTACTTTTATTAGTTGTTACTAGCTACTCGCCCCGGCTTCGCCCGAGCTTCATGTATTATACATATAAACCTTCCTCTTGAATCACTCTATCTATTAAAGAAAACCGCTTCAAAATCCGTTGCGTAGTTTTAAAGATTTAAGCATATATAGAGACAGACAGCGATAGCGACTTTGTTTTATAATATGTAATAATGATTTTTTGATTGAATTTGAATTTTGAATTACTATTACTATTATATATTGGTAATAATTCATCTATTCCGACATACGCCATCCTTTTGTCTTCTCTCCTCTACTCAAAGATTGACTGGAAGAGATCGCATAAGTGATAAGACCATTTGTATCTATATATTCTAAAGATTGTTTACATAGGGACGAACAGACAGCGACAGCGACTTTGTTTTATATGTGTAATGTTATTGGATCCATACAACATAGGTTTGTTCTCCTATAAACGCTGTTCGGCTTATCGTTAGTTACCAATGTTTTTGTTTAATGCGAGTGCTGAGCCCATTTTGGTATAGTACCGCCTACTCAGTTCATTACAGTAGCTGTGCATAAGTGGATATACAGTGCATGCAGTGAAAACTGTCGCGAACGAATAGTCTTTTAAAAATGTGACATTGTAAGAGATTTAGTTAGTAAACGCAATTGTTAATGAAATATAAAATTCATTTAAGATTAGATTAATCAAATGTTGTTTCTTAACAATATTTTGTTTATAGACGGTCCTAATTGGTCCAGCCATTTCAGAGATTATAACCATTTCAGAGAGTAAAAATCGAACCAGGCTACTTTTATTTTATAAAAATAAAGTTAAATTCCACGCGGACGAAATCGCGGGTACAGCTAGTATACTATAAACCAGAATATAGCAACATTTCGAACGAAAAATGTCTCAGGTGTTGGTACCTACCGGCGTGGGAGCGGGACGTCACGCGGGTGATTCATGCACCGCGAAAAACAAAATTCATTTTATTAGATTAGATTAGATTAGATAAATCAAATGTTACTTCTTAACAATATTTTGTTTTTTTTTAATATAAGGTCCTTACATATGAAATTGGCGTTTTGTCGTACTGGCCACTTTGATCTCAAATATTGCCTCTTTGCAATACAATTTTTCTTTAAATTATGTATCTTTAATAAATTTAATACTTGGTAAATTAAGTTCAATTTATTTGATCTTTTTTTCGTTTGTTTTTTATATTATATGATTGTATTGTATTTCTTACATTGTTGAAAAGCACAGAATAAAATCTTTTTCTTTCTTTCTTTCTTTCTTTCTTTCTTTCTTTCTTTCTTTCTTAAATATTATTTGTATATTGAACCTTTCTTTTATAAAATACAATAGCCTAACTTACTTAAATGACAAACGTACATGTTTGTCATTTAAGTAAGTGTTTAGTGAGTAATAGCTTTGTTCAATAAATATTTAACAGATGTTATAAATTTATTTGAAGACAGTAGAAATAGAAATAGAAATAATCTTAATTCAAATAAACTTGATATAAGCAGTTTTGAATAGTCAAGTTTTTTTATTCTACCGCTCATTCGGATCACAGACTCATCACAAGAAGAATGAGCAAGAAATTTGTGTGTTGCTCTTTTAAATAAATATAATGGCAGTAGTATTTTAAGTATGATGTACTTGAAATATCTAAAGGTCCGTTTCGAATCCCGCCGGTAGCTGCAGGTTTCACCGGCCGAGCTGTAACACTATTTGAGCATTTCTCGAGATACGATCACGCGATTTATGAATCCATTGTGTGAACAGGCAACAATTCTCATTAACGTCCGCACTTACGTACAAAATTATTTGTATCCCTTTGGAATATGTGTAAGTTTATGTTTCGCTCTCTATATGGGATTCATGTGATCCCGGTGAGGCTATAACTGACTATTTGAAGGTTTGAGGGTAGACTGTAATTATATATTTGTTTTAGCTGTTTTATGAAGGCGGAAATGATAACAAGTATACATGATACACAATATAACACAGACTGCACTAATAGCGAGATATTTGTTTTATTTATTTTATGAATGCGGAAATGAAAATAAAACCTATAAAAAATCTAGCAGTAATTTTCTTTTACAGTTTTATGAATGCGGAAATCTATATATATATATATATATATATAACTCAAAGGTGACTGACATAGTGATCTATCAACGCACAGTCCAAACCACTGGACGGATCGGGCTGAAATTTGGCATGCATAGAAAATGTTATGACTGAATAAGGCATCCCTACTGGATGAAAGTTTGTATGAAACTTTGTCAATTTTCTGAGATAAATGTCATAAAGCTACTATTAGGCATCCCCGAAAGGATTTTGATAATTTCCACCCCGGGATAAATTAAAAGCCGCGTGTAAAAGTGAAATCTAAACTGGTGGATAAGTAGACACTAATGTATGTCGTATACTTAAAAATCTAACATGAACGGCTCTAGAGTGGGAAGGGAACTGTTATTTTTTTTTTCGGACTACTCTAATGCTGTTGGCCGCAGCTGGCCTTTACAGCTTCGCCGGACAATAGAAGATTAGTGCAGATGGCACTCCAAACCCGAGGATGGCCAACTCCCATCTGACGGATACGACATTAGTCCGAGGGCACCGCTAGGTGTTCGAACCTCGGCTCAGGCTTTTGTAATATCGATCCCCGTTTGAATTGGACGGGGATCGATTAGAGGGGCTGGTAGTAATGAGGACTAAGAATCCCATTGCTGGCAATGTACCATGTCAGGTCGACCTCCATGTGGCTCGCCCTAGAAGCCTTCGTGATAAATATTGAATAAGATTCACTTGACAGCCTCGGTGATCTAACGGTTTAGCATACCGCCTTACTTCTACGGTCGCGGGTTCGATTAATCGCACGGTACAAACATTTTTATTCTTGTACGTATGTATGATTGTTTATATCGATCTGAATGTTTTTTATGTATAAAATGTATGCAATTACGAAAAATCTATCTATTTGTATCAGTGGTCCATACCCATAACACAAGCTCTGCTTACCGTGGGACTAGATGGCGCTGTGTTAATTGTCCAGGGTTATTTAATGATAATAATAATAATAATCTCAGGACAATTCACACAGTGCCATCTAGACCCAAGTTAAGCTAGCTAAAGCTTGTGTTATGGGTACTAGATAACTGATACAAATACATAGATTTTTTTTTAAATACTGTATGTATTATACATAGAATACACCCAGAACAATACAAACAGTCATACTCATGAATACAAATGTTTGTGCCGTGCGAGGAATCGAACCCGCGACCATCGGTTGTAAAGCTAGACCGCTAGACCACCGGGGTCGTCAAATCGTCGTATTTATTATGACTAACTGATCTGACCTCATGTTCATCTTATCATCCTGCACTGGTGCCCCGCCAGCGTAAACCGTCAGCGCAAACAGGTGCACCATTAAAAAAATACCCTGAAATTACCGAATATATACTGAAACAGAACAGAATAATACACAAATTTACCCACTTTACAACTTGTCGGCATAAAGCCAGTAATTACTCGCACCTGTACCTTGAATGCTAAGCGGCAAACGCGTAGATTTGCTAAGCAAATTGCTGAACATCCATTGCAACTGGGAGGATGCATGACGTCATCGTCGCGTTATGACGTCATAACTACTATCCGCGCCTCA